GCTATAGAGATTTCTTAGTTTTATAGTCTTTGTTTGACCTTTTGTGTTAGCTGGATTGTTTATTTACCACATGTATATTGTTCAGTTATAAACACAAAACCAGTTGATCAAGTAAGTTTGCTGGGCAATCAACTCATTTCATTCCCAGTTAAAATAGTACTCATATGGTGTTTCCTGAAGACATCCTGTACCTCATTATTTACCCATTCATTCAACAGATTTAATTTTTTAATTTTTGACAAATAAAAATTGTATATATTTAAGGTAAACAATGTAATGTTTTGATATATATGATATGAAATGATTAGCACAAATTAATTAATATATACATCACCTCCCATAGTTACCTTTTTTGTGGTAAGAACACTTGAGATCTACAATCTTAGTAAATTTCAAGTATATGATACATTTTTGACTATAGTCACCATGCTGTATATTAGGTCTCTAGAACTTATTCATGTTGTAACAGAAATTTTGTACCCTTTGATCAATATGTTACCCTTTCTTCCACCCCCAGCCTTTCTCTGGTAACCACCATTCTACTCTCTGTTACTATGAGTTTGACTTAAAAATATATATTTTTTAGATTTTACGTATAAATGAAATCATGCAATACTTGTCTTTCTCTGGCTTATTTTACTTTAGTATAATGTTCTCTAGTTTCATCCATGTCATTACAAGTGGCAGAATTTCTTTCTTTTTAAGGGCCAACTAGTATTCCTTTATAGATAGATAGATGGATTGATCCATTCATCTGTTGAACACTTAAGCTGTTTTCATATCTTGACTACTGTGAACAATGTTGCAATGAACATGGGAGTCCAGATATCTCTTTGAGATAGTGATTTTATTCGCTTTGGATATATACCCAGAAGTGGGATTTCAGCAGATATTTTTGAGTGCCTATTATGTACTAGGCAATGAATGATGTATTGGAAATATAATGGTGAACAACATAGGCATAGTCTTTGCTTTTGTGTAACTTACATCCTAGGAGGATAACAGATATGAAATAAGAAATTGCATAAGTAATTTGATATTTCCAATCAAGAAAGTTCAAAAAAGGAGGAGTATAGGGTGATAAGAGACTTAAGGCAGATTGAGGCCTAGATGAAGACTTGTTAGAGAAAGTGATGTTTTGAATGAACTTCAAAATGAGCAGGATTAAAGCAGAAGAAAGGGAGGACAAAAGTTCACCTTAGCACATGGAAAAACATGAATGAAGGCCCTGAAGCAGGAAGGAGCATGGGGTATCAGACAAATGGAGAGATAATATGGCTGGAGCTTAGAAAGAAAAGGGTGAGAGGTATGAGATGAGCCTAGAGAATCCAGCAGGGACTTTTAGACCATGTCTAAAATTTTGGAGTGTGTTTTAAAGAAAAATGCGAAATCATGCTAGTTTTAGGGAGGGGAGGACAAATTAGATTTGAAATTTTTAAAAAAGATTTTATTTTTAAGTAATCTCTACATTCAATGTGGGGCTTGAACTCACAACCCTGAGACCAAGAGTCACATGCTCCATCAATTGAGCCAGACAGGCACCCCTATATTTGAAATTTTAAAGCTTTTCTACAGTGTAGACAGTGGCCTGAAGAGAAGCAAGCATAAATGAGGGGTCCAGCTGGGACCTACTGTAGTAGTCTAGGCAAGAGATTATGCAGGCAGTCCAGATTGTGAGGTGGATATGTTTCCAATATAACTTTGAGATCTGGCAAGAGTTGCTGATGAAATTGGTTTAAGAACAAAAGAGAATGATACATCAAGAATGATTCTTAAGGTTTTTTACTTGAGTAACTGATTAGAAGGTGATATCGCTTCTAAGGGAGAGAATACTGGATGAAGAGGTTTGGGAGTAGGGCTGAAATATTCAAGAGTTTGGTATTGGACATTTTCAGAAGAGAAATTGAGTGAGGGCTTGAATATATGGATCTGGAGCTCAAAGGAAAGCCAGTGATACAGACCATTAAATAACTGGTTTGTAAAAAGATGACACATCAGATCCCACAGTTAAGTAAGCTTTTGAATACAAGGTAAATGTTGAGGGAATCATGGCTTTTCAGCTCAGGAAATCATTAAGTACAAAATTAGAATCACAGTGATTTAATAGGTAAGTCAATTTGTATCCCTCATCTCACCATACTGTGACTTATCCAAATAAAATATTTCAGTTCTCAAAAATAGATATCCTTAGAGTAAAAGAATATATAGCAATTAAGCTGCTTTGCTTCATGCTATTTTACTGACATTACCAACCCCTATATTCATCTTTAGTTTGTAGACAATCTATAAAAATACATTTGAACAGCTCAATATAGGCTGGCAATTTTACCTTTCCGAGGGTCCTGCTTTCTAGCTTCAGAATGAAAGGGATTTCATATTTGGGGCAAAACATATTGGAAAATTAGCATGACAGAGTAATATTACTTATTTATTTTATTTTATATCCCACTAGATGTAAATTTCATGAAGTCAGGGGTTTTTGTCTGTTTTACTCATTGCTGTAATTCCAGCATCTAATTCAGTGCCTTGCACATAGTAGGTATTTAATAAGTATTTAAGGAAAATTGAGTGAAATAATAAGTTGTGTCTTCACATTGTATCTATTTGTTAGAAAATTTATGAGTCCATAGAAAGTTAGATATATGCATATTGAAAAAGATATATATATATATGCACACATATACACATATCAATAGAGATACCTTAATTTATCATGTTTTTAACCACCCATTCATAGCTTCTCACTGTTAGAGATTCTGAAGTTTCCTGTGTTTACTCTGGGAAATCTATTAATTTTCATTTCCACCGGTAGTATTAAGAGTCTCATAGATCTATTTCACTTCTTTTTCTTTTTTTTAAAAATATTTTATTTATTTATTTGACAGAGATCACAAGTCAGCAGAGAGACAGGCAGAGAGAGAGAGATAGGGGAAGCAGGTTCCCTGCTGAGCAGAGATCCGGATGCAGGGCTCCATCCCAGGACCCTGAGATCATGACCTGAGCTAAAGGCAAAGGCTTAACCCACTGAGCCACCCAGGTGCTCCTAAGATTTTATTTGTTTATTTGACAGACAGATCTCAAGTAGGCAGAGAGGCAGGCAGAGAGAGAGAGAGAGACAGAGATGGGGAAGCAGGCTCCCTACTGAGCAGAGAGCCTGATGTGGGGCTTGATCCCAGGACCGTGGGCTCAATCCCAGGACCCTGGGATCATGACTTGAGCTGGAGACAGAGGCTTTAACCCACTAAGCCACCCAGGCGCCCCTATTTCACTTCTGATAGTACTCAAAACTTTGTTTTTGTATCAAGGCAAATGGCAGAGTGATTTACTGAACAATAATACATTACACATCTCAGAGGAGTATCTTACACAAAATATTCATCAGAGGACCATCACAAGAGAATTGTTCAATACATCCAGAAAGTCCATAAAAGAAATTAAGAAAACATGTAAAATATTGCTAAATATTATGGCAAAATGCAGCAAAACAAAACAAAATCCAACCTAGTAAAATACAATTTTAAAGAATTTTCATGGAACCTTAGCAAAGTAACAAACATGTGTTGAGCATCTTCAATATATAAGACACATGATAGTGTTGGCAGATATAAAGATGAAGACTTAGTCCTTGTATTCATAGTACTTGCCATGTGCAAGGGGAGTCAGAACTAAGTTCAGTTCAGCAAACACTTATTGGCATTCCTACCAAGCAACAGGCTCATGTTAGATGCAGGGGGTAAACAGATGAGTAAGGCCCAGACCCTGTCATAGAGAGACTTATGATTTAGGGCATTATATACCTGGGTGTATCCTTTTGTATGTGTGGAGGTGTGTGTATTGTATAGGAACCAACATAAATGCAAAAAATTTTACTGCACTTTGGGAGGCTATAACAGGGTGTTAACACTACATAGGGAAATTCAACACAATATAGGGAGGAGATAAAAGGAGGAGGTGGTAGAACCTGAGCTGAATATTAAGGATATGTTAACTGGAGAATGGGAATATCATTCCATGCTGAAGGAAAAACAGTGTGACTAGGAAACCACAAGCAGTTCAGAGGGCGGATGATGTAAGGGAAGGTCCACTACCAGCACTTTCTCTTTTGAAATTATTTCTCTCTTGAATTATTTTGAAACTCTTGTAAAATACCTAAAATAACTACAATGAGCCCTAAAGCCCCTCATTAATTTTCAAACACAATCACTTCAGTATAAGGCCATTTTACCTTGATCATTTCTGCAGCAGGTTATCAGAAGAATCTAGTATGGACTCCTTGTACACGTATAAAAAACCAGTTTCAGAACCAATACATGCCTATCAAGCAACTACTATGCTTTCATATCTTTTTTCCCCTCCCGTAAAGCGAAGCTGATTTTGTAAAAATATACTGCTGGGTGGCTGCTTGGACTAACTAAAACAAATTCAGACGCAACTTAGGTTTCATTGTGGCGAAGCTAAGGCGAGAGGTTTTTCGTGGGTTTTCGTTGGGGAGACATGGAGACGAAAAAGATAGGGGATATAGTTTGAAAGAATTGGTGCGAAAATATGCCGGGGGGGGGCGCAAAACGAAAACACACACACACACACACACACACACACACACACACGCGGGGAAACAAGTTTCCAGGCTGGAATGAAAATTTCCTTTGTTCACAGACCAAGCCCCTTTCAATTTCAGTCCGCCCTTCATCCATCCCAGCAATTCTTGCTTCATCACTGCCAAGGGGCACCCAGGTTTTCCCATTCATCCTAGCTAGCAGAGCAAACATTTCTATCTCATTACTACCCCAAACCTCCAGGCTAAACGCGCTACTGCACTTAGGCTGTAAAATAAACTGAACTTTTAACATCTGCGTAAACATTTCAAATAAAATGCTGTAGCCGCCTACCTGGACCGGCCACCCAAGAACTACAATATCCAGAATACACTGTTTTCCCTTCCGCCTTCTACCAGGGCGATGCCTGACTAGATTTCATTTCCACAAGCAATAGTCACATGACACATTTCCTTTCAAGATGGCGGACAATCTCCCTTCGGAGTTTGATGTGATCGTGATAGGGACGGGTATGTGCGGCTCTGGGACTTCCCGAACAAAGTGTAGGAAATCTGTCTCGTTCCTACCTTCTCTGTCAGTGTTGACGTTTAGCGAGAAATGCTGGGGATTGAGGATGGGAGGGAGGATGGGAAGGAAGTGAGGTAATGTGGAGTCAGCGCGGGACTTGGCGGCTCCAGGGAGGGGCTTGGACCCCCGGTACTTAGCGCCGTTTGAGTAGGGGTCGATCTGGTCGATGCCGATTGCTGAGGTTGGTTGCTGCGGGTGATTCTGTAATTTCCTTAGAGCGAGGTGGGTTTGTAGTGTGGTGAGAACGCAGGGTCGGGATTTTATCAAAGAGACGTTTTTGGTATGACACGATTCTCTCCTTGTTGATTTCAAGGTGATATTCCCCATCATGTTGTCTCGCCCTTAGGAATTTTTCATATATTTATGTAGTCTTAGGGTGTAGTGCAGCTCGGATACAGCTCGGTCCTCAGGTTTTCCAGAAAGATGCTCATTGTTGCTCGTGTATTAATTTACTAGGATAAGGACACGGATTCTTTTCTATTGTGTTGACAAGCCTAGGGAATTGTATTTTGTTGAGGTAGCCATTCCTGCTTTATGATGCTGGAAGATAGCGTTTTGTTCTGTATCACCCATCTATCTCCTCACGACTAAATGAGCTTGAGAAGCTTCTGTGAATTTCCCTTCAGGTGTGTGACCTTATCTTCCCCTAGTTTACCCATCATTTATTCTCCATGTTTTGGGTGGAGCCAGAAAAACCCCTGCAATTTCTAGTTGGCAAATTCAGCGTACAACCCGTGGCAGAAGATATTTGGCAGCAGTTGGTATTTTGTTTTTCTTAATAGTGTAAAGGGCGGATTTTAGATGGCATGAAGTAGGATGTTGAGTGGGGTTTTCTCCTGTTTGCAGAATGTGGTAGGTTGGAGAAGCTCTGGTGGATAAGAACCTGTCGATTGTGTTATGAATAGAGTTTTGTCTTCTCAAACAGTAGGGGCAGCCATGTTTCTAGGGCGGGAGTAAAAATAATAGCTACCTGGTTTTGAATGCTTATTATTTTCTAATTGAGGTGCTAAGCACTTTAGAAGCTGTTTGTACAACAACCTCAGAGTAGGTATTCTCTACACTTTACAAAAGAGGAAAAGGGGGTTTAGAAAGTTTGTCCTGTGCCCAAGATAACACAGCTGGTAAATTTCCAAAGGCCCATTCCATCTCAGAAGGAGAATCTGTGCTTCAGACCTTCAGAGTTAACCCATATTGATAGAAATAATTGAGAACAGTTGTTTCTAGACCTTGTTTGGCCTTTAAACAGCTGTTTGAATTGCTAGGGCACTTAATCTCTTTGAGCCTCAGTCGTCTTGTTTTTAAATACAGAAAGGGTAAACTAGATATTCTTTCAGGTATTGTCTAACCAAAAATTCTCTTATTCTAGTTGCACCTGGGTAAGTGGTCTGAGGACAGTAAAGACATGTGTATTCCCATTATGAAAACTGCATGGCTTCAGGTAACTTGGCTGTAGTTGCTGTGAACAGATGTTGGATGAGAGCTGGAAGGAGCCAATTGACTATTCATTTGTTCTCTCCAGTCTATCCTAAAATCGAGAACAACATCCATTTTTGAATAGCTGTTATACCATATTTGGATTCTATATTATTGCCTTTCTTTTTTGTTACCTAGGAACTTGGGGTTTTTTAAAAATTTTTTTGAACCATTATAAGATTTTTCTTATCTGGATTCAAATTTTAATTGATAAGAGTGTTAATTCCTATTATTAAGTGCCATTAATTCTTAAATAGTTGCTTTCTGGTTCAGTTCATAATATGGACTATATTCATTTTGTTAGAGTCTGTTATGGTAGAGGTAGGAAGATACTGTGAGTGATACAGAAAATTGCATTAGGCGGCATCTGGTGTATTTAGAAAAAGATTAATTTTAGACCTATTCCAGTGAAGGTAATATTATTTCTCAAATTATAGGAAGAACTTACTTGAAGTTAATTATAAGTTTTTTTTTATATCACTTAATGGTGAACATACTCTGAGTTTATCATGCACACTGCAGAACTTTATGTTATGAAGCTTTGTTTTTAGGTATGTTAAAAATGGGGAAATTGGATAAAAGTCATTTCGCAAATGATTCTAATAATTCCAGTCATTACTTAATTGAAATTATTGTTAATGTGTTTGGAATATTTTTCTTCGGAAATAGTTTGCTGGAAGTAACCTTACAAATGTTTGCATTAGGGGCACCTGGGTGGCTCAGTCCATTAAGTATCTAACTCTTGATCTCAGCTCAGATCTTGATCTCAGGGTCATTGAGTTCAAGCCCCATGTTGGGCTCCACATGCTGTATATGTTTGCATTACTAAGTACTAGCTTGAGTAAATTTTAGTAAAAGCAGCATTTCTTCATTTCAGTTTTACTGACAAAAGCAGAATTAAACCTGTATGTATCACAAACATGAAGAAATAGGCTATGAAATGTAATTTTTCTTTTAGTAGATTTAGCTGTGTAAAGAGACAATGGCTTCAAATAAAAACATCTGTAGATAATATTCAAATCCCTTTGTCCTTGATTAATTAGTTTTATTATTATTTATTTATTTATTTTTTTACTTTCCATATCACAAGATTTTTCTTAAGGTCATGTTTTGAAGAGATTATGAGAAGATAAAATTTTGTATGTATTTTCTTAGTTATGTTCATTTCTTTCTGATTACAAAATACAGGAAATATGTGTCAAACACCCAAAGGCAGAGGAATAAAATAAAGTATTTGAGCTGTGAAAATTATAGAAGAAAATGGAATAAGGAAGGGGGGCCATCTGGAGTCTTAAAGGAGAGGACAAAACTGAATGTAAGTGATGTTCTAGAGAGTGGCTTTCAGTTTGGGTACATGGTTGTCATTTTCAAGACATTTTGCCTTTTAAAAAGACATTGGAATGATAATTTTGTGGGCTATAGAGAAGTATCATTGGTTTCAGGTTAAAAATAGTCCTAGTAACTAATACCTCACTGGAGGTGACATCTGTGTAATCCGCAATCTGCATGAGAGCCAACAGTTCAACAGAAGAGCAGGCAAGATGGAAGTTAGGAGAACTGTGATAATATTGGCATGCTTCTTACATAGTGGAATCATTCAGGCCCTCGCTTAGAGCTTATTTTTATTTTAGAAATAATTCCATATGCTCAGAACATATTAGAAACATCCTCAACTTCTGCAAAAGCTGTGTTTGGGGGATGTCATTAGATATAAGTGATAGTTCATATCCTAGTGGGAAAGGAAAGAGACAAACACCTGAAGTGCAAGCCTATGTCAAACAGTAAAATGGCCTGGGACCAGTTTGTATAATGACAGACACTCGTTTTTCAGAGTATTCAACCCACATTTACTGAGAATCTAGTCCCTGCTTTGTGAACTTTACTGTTTTGCCTGTTTTCAGAGACTGGGATTCCTATAGTCACAGCCTCAGAACTGTTCTTAAGCCAATGAGGACTTACCATTGCATCCTTCTTGCTTTCTGAAGATGACACATAGGGATTCAGTCTGCATCCCTTTCCTTTCTGAAGTATACCACACAATTATACTTTGGGAGTTCTTTCCCTAAGATGGACTGTGGAGTGGGCTAGCTTAAAATTTTTCCTGCAGCAGATAAACACATAGATCCTTTTTGATTTAAGAGTTTTATTCCTAAAGATTATGGGGAAAGAAATGAGATAACCAAGATAACAAACATGGGAGAAATTACAAAGATTATTGCTCCTAAATTGTGACTACTTACCTAGATAAGTAACTATGTGTTCCACATAGTATGATAATAGATGAGGCAGCCTGGTGTAATAGGAATCACGTGACCTTTCTACTGGGTGACTTTGGGCAAATTACATGACCTCTTGGGATGCCAGTTTGTTCATCTATAAAGTGGGAGATTTGAATTAGGTGACCTATTTACCAGTTCTAAAGTTTACCATTGTGTAACCTAAGTATGACCCTGGGTCTTTGAAAAGGCTAAATTCTGTATAGTCCTTTTAAGGAGACAGGTCAGTGTTTAATATACTTTAGAAACGTGGGTGTCAAAATGGGTCATAAAAATTTTCTTGTAAACAGTAAGCTCCTTTTATCAGGAAGGTCACATAGGTAGCACGCTTCCATTCTTTGATGTTGGCTGATTATTATAATGTCAGCCTTGGCTGGCAACTCAGTGACTATAATGCTTATGGTGGTGGTACAACATCACTTCTCTAAATGTTGGGGGAATAGTATTGGTGCAGGAGGTTTTGTGAAAACACATTTACCAAATACCCCATATGTGACTTCCCACATATATATCTTACTTACTCTTCTCCCAGGATACCTGTATATATTTCTAACATGACAGGGTGCCCATACTTCTTCTGTGTTTCCAAACATACATACACCTATCATCTGTCCAGAGCTGAGTTGTGATTTTTTTGATGTGGTAATTGCAAGATGTCACCATTTGTGGGTCATGAAATTAATTCTAGCATTTAAAAAAGAGGTAGAGAAGAATACATCAGAATATATTACATGTAGTAAGGATGAATATAGTTCAATGAAACAAGTATTTTATTTGTGTATAACAGGTCACTGTAAAATACATACATGTATATACATACACATATTTTTGGAGGATTGTTGGGGCAAAAAGTCTTTAGAGAATATTAACTGAATAACAATGAATAGTAATGAAAATAGTATTTCAAAAGTCCTTTAGTTTTACAAATGCTATACCATTCATATATTTTATTTACTTTGACCCATATGTATCTCATTTGAGCAGTGTAGTGATAATGTAGTGATTGACAATATGATTCTGAAATGAGACAGATTGGGTTTGAATCAGCCGTGTCTCTTGTGCCACCTTACACATGTCTCTTAATGTCTAAGTTGCAATTTTCCATCTCTACATGAGAATAAACCTCACAGAGCTGTGTTGAGAATTCAATGAAATATTTCCTGTAAAATGTTTAGTAAGTGCTCAGAAAATGT